CCTCTTTTCCTATTCCTGTCTTCCTATCTGCTCTCTACTTTCCCATGAAACTTCCCGAGGCTCTGGCTTCTTAGTCCTCTCATCTCTGGCGGTTTTGCATTGGCACAGAATACATTTCTGCAAATGGCACAAACTTGTTCTTTAAATTGGTTCATGGGAAAGATTTCAATTAGTCAAATACTCTAACGTCTGACATCCATATTGAAAATTCAGTTCTCCTCTAATAGCCACTCTTGTCTGACATCCATATTGAAAATCTGCATCTTCTCTGTGATGTTAGGAAATAATTCATTAAATGAACCTAAGCAGTATAATCAATACGAAAGAGCAGTTTACATGGAGACTGTAACTTCTTTCTTTACAAAGTTTGGCCAAACTCAGCATTTCAAAGACAGCAAAGTATAAGGATTATAAAAGGGACAACTGTAGGCAGGAGATCAATTCTTACTTCTCAAATTGACTTGCTATTTCACCTCAAACCTGTTCTCATTTCCTCCATTTGTTAAAATGGAGGAAACATTACTTACGTACAAGAATCCTAGTTTTCTCTGTTAAAAAAAAAAAAAAAATTCAAAAATCCCAAATTCTCTGATTAAAAACACCCAAATCTGCGTTTTCTCTGATTAAAATGAAACACCACAATGAATATATATATATATATATATATATATCAGGTATCAGTTGAACACAATGTTTTAGTGATATGTTTCCAGTTTGAAAGTCTACCACTGCCTCAGTCATAATAAAATAAATTCTAAATATCTATGTATTTTGGCATTTGATTTTGATTTATTTATTATGGAATATCAGAGCTCCCCCTTCCCACTCAGCATGTGAGACAAGCTGCAGTTGCCCCCCCCCCACTTCCCCCTCCAACTGCTTTGTGGTGCCCTGTCCCTGCTGTTGCCCCTCACTCCCAACCCACAACCACCTACCCCCCAGCCCTGCTGGTGCCCCTCACTCCTGACCCACTGTGCCCTGCCCCTAGGCCCCAACCCCCAGTGTATGAGGAAGGGGGTAGGTGTATAAGGGAGAGGGTATGTGGGCATAGGCAACATCTCGGAAAGACATGGGGGGCATGTGCCCCCACAGATTTCTTTGCCTACAGTGGGGCATGGGGCTGGCACCAGGCAAGAGCTGGTGCTCCGGCCCAGCAGGTAGGACCTGGCGTAGGAGGGCGGAGTAAGGCAGGGAGGCTCGGTGCTGCTGCTGCTGCCAGGAACACCGCACTGCCATGGCCACCAAGGTGAGGCATCCCCTGCCTGCGGCACAACTCCACGCAGCTGCAACGGCAGTGGTGACAGCAGGAGCACTGAGCCTCTGCCCTGCTCTGCCCTCCCATGCCAGGTCCCACCTGTTGGACCATGCAGGTGGTCCCTGCCTAGTGCTGATTCGGACAGGCTGTAGTCCCTTGCCCCACTGTGGGCACAGAAATCGGGGGGCTTGTGCACCCCCCAATACTCTCTGATGTGTTGCCTATAGGCCTGACCCCTCCCCGCAAGTGCATGTAGCAATGGGGAGCTCTCCCCCTCCCCCCGCCCTGGAATGAGCTGCCCGTTGCTCTGTCCTGCTCCCCAGCCATTCCCTCCTGCTTCCACCCAGGCCCTGGGCCCCAGTCACCTCCTGGGCTGGGCAGTGCCCCCAGCCCCAATTGCCAACCCTGCCCCACTCCCTCCTTCACTGTGCAGGTTCAGCACAAGCTGCCACCACCACTTCTCAATCTCACCACGAGTTGTGGCCCCCACAGTGGCCCTCCACGTGTTGTCTGTGCTCCCTCCCCCCATGGACTTACCTGCTGGGAGCTGTGGGAGCTGCTCTCTACCACACTGGCAACTGTATTACCAGCCACATGCATGTGTGTGCAGGCACATGCACATGGCACCTCCTACTTCTCATCTTCCTCCTCCCACTGCCCCCAGCCACAAGCAGCCCCTTGCAGGCTGGAGCTCTGTCAGCCTGCAAGGGAAAAACCACGGTTTCCTGAGTTTTTCTCCTTGAAAGGAGAAAATCTGCATTTTTTCCACAGAAAACAGAAAACCCAGACCCCTGCTTGTGTCTTTCAGGAATAGTGTAAAGCTTAATCTCTCTCTGTCTTTATAGGATATGGGGACATTTAAGTATAATATGCTATAAAAATGCTAACTGTTAAAAGTATTATACAATTTAAATATGTAAATAAGATCTTTGTTTGCCATAAATAGCATGAATTAAAACACAGGCTTAAATTTAGGCTCCTCAATATGGCTTTCTAGTCAAAGTACAGCTTGCATTCTTTAACACGATAAACTGCTTTGCTGGTTTGGGACTTGACTCAAACTCTTAGACATAATGTAATTGTTTTCAGTCCATTTCCCTTGAAGATTTTAAAGAGAACAACAGACCATAGACTCAGGAGCAAAATTCAGGATTAATGAATGGATACTCCTCAAAGAAAAGAAATTAACAGCGGGACACTTCAAAGTGTTCATATTAATATCAGAATTTTTTAATATGTTTACCATTTGTAGGAGGATGTAGACGTCAGTCTGGTGACCCTAGGTCATTGATTTTAGTATGGAAACTTCAAAGGAATACTATGGAGAAAGCTGTCAGGAGCCATAGATGGATTTAAATGCATCAGGGTTAGGACTATTGTAGTTGATACTGAACTTGAATAAAATAAATTGCCACAGATGGTGTCAGATATATTTACAGAATCTATTCAGGAAAGAAATTTGTGAGTCATAGGGACAATTACATGAATAGAGACTAACTTTGACTGCACCAAACTTTCAGGTTTCTAGGTCTCAGCATGGAATCAAGAATCGAGTAGTAGGGTCTAAACTACTTGTACAGCTCATGGGGAAAGTTTGGTGCCTCAGCATGAGATCCAAAACTGCTGATGCACTGTAGATAAAGTCAGACCTAGTCAATGGGAAAGTCAAGCACAACAATCCTTTCTGGGGCTTTGGAGCATCTCTTCTTGGGATCCTCAGTTCAGAAACCTCTTCTTCAAGGGAGGTATACCCTTTTCTGCATCAACCGGAAGAGGCCAGTTTTAAGAGAGAACATGGTTAAAACATGGTGGCAGCAGAAGGAACCAGTAGTAGTGTACATTGTAGTAATGACTTGTATCAAAATGACTATCTTAAAAACCCCATTCAGTTGTTGCCTAAATGTCATGGGTATCTATCACTTATTATATTAGAATTGTTACCAGATGTGCCCTGCTGGGACAGGGACAGGGGGAGGGACAGAGAGAGAGAGAGTGTTGGGGGTCTCACCTCTCGGCGAAGCTTGAACCAGTCGAAGTTCCCAGGTGTTTGTTGGCACTTGCGGACAGGCAGAGTTGTGAGTACAATCAATGGAGGGATTCCAGGCAGAAACAAAGTGGAACTGGTGCAGCTTTTGGATCCAAGCACCATCTTTTGAATCCAAACGATGGCTCATACATTGGGTAATAGGAACTGATCACTCCCGGCTATGGGTGGCATTACTCTGAGGGCGCTCACAATACAGACAGGCAGATTCAGTGTTTTGGGTACCAATAAAGGAGTCATTACTAGAATTGGTCTGATAAATGCTGAGCTGGATGTGTACAGACCTGATTAGCAATTGGTATTTCTAGGGGCATGCACAAATCATTCAGGAGAGCAGCAAGGACTGTATTTCTATCATGTCCTTCCTTGAAACAAGAGTGACGGTTGGCAACCAAGAGGTGTTTGAAAGCTATTTTTAGCTAACTTCTTAATTAACTTATGAAAAGGACAGAAATGGAGCAGTAATTTGAAAGATTGTTTCAGTGAGTGCTTATCTATTCAGAGTAAAGGTTAACTGAAAGAACGCTTCTAATTAAAAAAAAAAATTGCATTGCAATTGGAAGTTATGGAGCTATTTATGAAAGGTAGGATTGAAGGAGAGTTTATGTGAACGGTTTCATAATTTCCTAGGCAGTTTAATTCTTTATTTGGAACTAGTTTTATTCTTTGTATTGTCTGATATGTTCTTCAATCCATGTGCAATGTAGTCATAATTGCAACTATGAATTTAAATATTTACACATGTTTATATTATAGATATAACACTAAATTAACATAATTTTGCACTGAAAATTTTATGGATGAAAAACATTAAACTAAGATAATTTCTTCAAATAAATTATAATGATCTGATGTTAACTTGGGATTCAGATCATTGTGTGTGTATATCCTGAATGAGGGATCTAGGATTTAAAGAAATGTATTATGTTCCTGTATCAAGTGCAGGAACTATCATGCTGTTCAGATGCCAGCCTACCTTCTGAAATCATCTTGAGTGGTGGAGATAGGAGACACCTCTTTCACTGAGTTATCTAAGAACAAGAAAAGTCACCTGAAAACATTTTTGTGCCATGAAAAAATATTCCTTTGTAAACCAAACTGAATTAACCAAACATTCTTTAAAAAAACACAAAACACCCAAAAAGAGAAAGACACGCACACAACACGCTGCAAGAGAGACTTTCTTGTGTAGGGGAATCTCTGGCTGAGACTGTTAGCTTTACACAACTGCGCCCTGACTCCCCAGGTGCCAGTGACCTGCAGCTGTGCAATATTTGCACACACGAACTAGTAGCTGGGTTTTGCTCCAGGATTGGCATGTGCAAAAAACCCCCCCAGGTTTCCCATATATTTCCAGGTGGTGTGCTATATCTGGGACAAATCCTATAAGATGTGCATTTCCAGGCTCAGGCCCTTATTCTACATGATGCTTTCCCCCATTTTTTCCCTTTCCTCCTTGTTTTCCTCCACCCCACTTCTTTCTTTTCCAGTCTTTTTCTCGTCAGTTTTTCTACCACTCTGTTTTTATTGTGAATATTTATGATCTCTTTCCATGACCGTGTCTTCTCAAAGATCTGTTCAACGTGTGATGTTCCCTCTTTGGGGCTTTTTTGGTTTCATTTCATTGCATTTCCCCTCATTTCTCCTTTCTTCGCTTCCATTGTAACAGCAGTTTGGTAGGGGGGCTGTTTGCAGGGCTGGGGCTTTACCTCCCTGATCAATTCAGCATGGCCCAGCTGGGCCCATCTGAACATCCCCAGGGAGGCAGCTGCAGAGGCCTGGGGGAGATGTTCCTGGGCCCTGCCAGTGCTGATGCCAGGGGGGTGGAAGAAGAGCAGACATATGAAAAGCCAGCAGAACGAGTCTGTACTTTCCCCCCAGTTGCACCTGGACTGGCCAGTGTGATTTGTAACCTCGTCCGTGCAGGGTGAAAAGAGCTGGCTGGGCTTTGGCCTGTGGGCTTCCTTCCTGGGCAGCCCCTAGAGGCAGCAGTGCACCCTGCTGCCACCCTCAGGCAAGGCAGGCCCCCGCTCTCCACTCAGAGGATCATGGCGGCCCTGGAGTGGGGCCGGAGGAGCTGAGGGTCTGAGGTGGGCACAGGGGATCCCGTGCCAGGCTACTGCAAGCGTCTCTGCTGCTGCTGAGGGGGGTCCCAACTCCCAGGGGAGCCTGCTGTGCCCTCCAAGCCTTCTCAACACAGTGTCCATCACGTTCAGGCCTGGGCTGTGCCCACAAGGTGTGTGAGGAGTGAGGCAGGGCTCTCCGGGCACTTCTCTAGGCCGCTGGGGAGGGGCTGTGCAGGAACATGTTGAAACGGCACCGATCCTGTCCCTGCAGAGGGTGGTGCTGTGTAAATGGGCTTGAAAGGGAGCGCTATCTAGTGGGCACAGACTCTTGTGCCCCTTCCCCCCTGCCCCAGCTCTCCCCAGCTTCATCCCTTGTGGCTGTGCCCCCTTCAACTTATCCCTGTGCCATTCCTGCCTCTCCTCCTCAGCTGGTTCTCTGCCCCAGATCTATTCCTCTCTCAGTCCCTAATGCACATGCCACTTCCCAGCCCTGGACTTGGCAACCCCGTTTCTTCTCTATCACTGGCACAAGGCTTGGTCTCTGGTGGGCTATTGGCACATTAAAAATAAACACGGCACCACCTGGAGAGCTGTATAAAGTCTGTGACAAAAAATGGCACGAGGGCCCTTCTCACGTAACATTTAGGGTTTTTTAATAATAATATTGTTGTTTAATTAACATTTTTATTGTGATACTGTCTAGACTATTACAATAGACTGGTCTCCAAATGTAGCAGACACAGTAAAATACATAGCAGTGACAGATCCTCACTCAGAGGTTGTGAAAGACTGAAAGAGAATGGCTGGATGAGATGGAAAATGCAAGGAAAAGACAGGGTCATAATCATAGGTTGTTTTAGCATAGACTACTTATGTGCATACTTCTTAGTCAACTAGTAGCAAGTCTTCCCTCACATTTATACTATAGAGAAATTCACTGTACCAAGTTATTTGTTTTAGTTCATCTACTCCTATTCCACGTTCCCCGGATGAGCCTGTTTTGTGACGTCATATTAGTTACTGTGGGCATGGGAGTGTCTTGGTACATGATTATTAGACTGGGCTCTGAAGCACTATTGTTAGCTGGCATTCTGGTGACTTACGGGAAACAAAGGCCTTTTGTAAGATCTTGGTGCTATTTAACTTGCTTGTTTTCTTATGCTTTAGTGAATGCCTAGAAGACTAAATCCTGTCTTTTAAACAGCTACAGAAATATATATTTTCCAAAGGTAAGCCTTTTACTGATATCTTCATGTTTTTACTCAAAGTTAAACAAAGTATTTACTTTTCTGTGTCATGTCAAAGAACAGTGTACAATAAGTTGGTGAAATGGTGCCATCTTTCCCTTGGCCCCAGCTGTTTAAAAAGAAAGTAACAGGAACCTAGAAAAAAGCAAAGACGAAGACCTATTAGCAAGTCAGGATTTTACCTTAAAATGAAAAATCTATCTAGTCCTGTTTTAATTGCATCAAGAACAGAATTTCTCCTTAGAGGCTGTTTCTCAGTCAGGTTGATCTAACTTCAGGAAATGTTTCCTGATAGTCATCCCATGTTTTCTCAGTTAAATCTATTAACTTGATTTTGCACTGCATATGGTTAGTTCTTTTCTCTTTTCTCTCTTAAATTAATGCCCCCTGGCATTCCAAACATTTTTGCTGCTCATGTTCTTTGTCCTTCGGTTCATGCACTATCTTCTGGAACTGAAAGGCACAGATATGAAAGCAGCATTCCATGGAAGATCAATTCATTTTTAAATGACCTTATTGATCCTGATCCTGTTTGTATAGTTTCCTTATAGGTGGAGCTTTGTTCAGTCATCAGTGCTTGAGAAGAGGGACAGCTGGGAATTCTGGGAAGAAGTACAGAATTTAAAAAAATATTTCCCCTGGTATCATAAACATTTCTATTTTACACACATGCAGATTTTGTACATTAAAGTTGTTATATCTATATAGTACAGGTCTGCATCACTATGTAATGATGAGTACAGCACATCACTTCCCTTAAGAACTTAGGACCAGAACCTCAAAGAGATTTTGGTACATAATTCCCATTTATATCATCCTTATAATCCCTTTAGTGAGTAGTCCCACTGGCTCCAGTTGTACTATATGGGAATAAGGATTATTCATCTAGTTTTGTAAGGATAGGAAACGGATGCGTTTTGGCATTCTTTAGTGTATTATATGAGCTTCTTGGCAAGGACTAATTAGCCCATACAAGAGGTCTGTGCTGTAATATCTAAACTGCTTCTAGTACCCATGGTAGCTTGTTTCAGTCTAGCTTGGGTATAACTGCGCCACACTGCAGTCTGCAATGCAGATGTATCCCTAATCTTTTCCTACCTCATTTTCCCCTGTTAACCTGTAAAACTGGAATAATTTTTTTCCGATACCTTTTGTCTGTCCAGGACAAAAACTGACTCTTATGCTTTTATACACTTGGGTAAAATGGACTCTTATTTTACTTCAGGCTTGTAAGTTTTATCATATTACAAATGTTAAACAAGAATATTAATTCCCAGATAAAAGCTACATTAAAAATAGTATTTTTAATTTAATGGAATGGAGTTCAGAAATTTAGGGCAAATTACATTTCAGGGTTTTGTAGTTTTCTTCAAACCAAGCACCATAAATACAAGACATTCAAAATTAAGGTTGAAATTTAAACTTCAAATGTGTTTCAGACTGGAAACAAACAGTGATGGCTTCCAAACATCCTTATCTGTGCCCTTAAGTGGCACTGTGCAAGAGACATGTTAGTGTTTGGTCCCAGGTTAAGTCATATTGGGCACCTATACATGAGTGCTGAGGCTGCAGACTCAATTAATCAAATCTGCTGGAGCATGGCAATTGCCGTGCTCCAGCAGCCTCCTGCATTTCATGTATCACCATCCCTGAGCTTAAAAACAGCAGTGGGGGTGCTTGAACTAAGACTTGTTGAATGAGCTTTAGTTCAAGTGCCCCTGCCACCGCTTTTAAGCATGGGGATGCTGGTACAGGAGACGTGGCAGCATTTTAATTAGAGTGGCTCTGTGTGGCTCTAATTAAAATGCTGGCCCCTTCCTCCCCCAGAGCATGTGTCAAACTGCCCATTTGTTTTTAAAGACACCAGAATCTTTGTTTTCCTTTTCCAAGTGTTACTACAGGGTATGGTTAAGATTATTCGGAAGCTCTAACTCATTGTATACACCCAATAAATCAACATAAAGGCAGAGAGAATAATTTTTTTTATCCTCTGAGGAAAAACTTAAAAGGAATCTTTTATATCTCTTCTACAAGAACATAACCATTTAGGGCTGGAGCCCTCACAAATCAAGCTGGACATGCCAAAATGCATTTTGGTCTGTATTGCATTTCTGCATGTAGCTCTTTGCATTTTCCCATCCTTCTAGAAGAAAGTAAAAAAATAAAATGCACTTACACCTCACAATTGATCTAAAAAAGCAGTTGATTTCAATTTGGTTTTCATGGCCCTGTCTTGACTGGGGTGTTTAAAAAATTACCTTTTTGAGGAGCTTAACTCAGGGAATAAGTGATGGTGAAAAAGGGTGTGTACATTGAGTGGATCTGGTTCTAGTTCTTTCCAAACTGCTTTCCTGAACGGGAGAACAAGTATCAGAAGGTGACCTCATGCATCATTTCATATTGGCAACCCGAGAAGTTGTGTCCAATTTTGTGAGGCTAGCCACAGTCTGAACTTCAATCACGACTCATAACTTGATATTGTAAATGAGGTTTGGGCTTCCTACCTTGCATCCTTTAATTGCATTCTTTATCTGGACTCATAATTAAGACAAGGCCAGAATATCACATCTGGTGCCTATTTGTGAGCACCAGAGCTATGCTAGGTGTCTGAATCTAAGACATTTTGGACTGGAAGATGATGCTACTAACTTTTCTTTAGCCCAAGGGTAGATATGTGACTAGATAACTGTTTTGTTAGATTCATTTGTAAAATAGGGGAATTAGATTTTCCTTGCTAAAAATAAAGATGTTATTTGTTCTCAGTGTCTTTTTCCTAACAAGTAAGATATGTTGTATGTATTTTAGCAGAAATTCTCTGAATTAACTCTGATTTTCTATGTCACTAGGTTCAAGATGGCAAACTGCAGCTGTATAATGTATGGATTCTTTTGGTTCGTTTTGCTGGTGTTTATTGGTTGGCCCATAAGCATTTTCCTGAGTGGCCTTTATGGATTCCTTTCCCCAATCACTACTTTAGTAGGACTAGACGATGTCAGTGAAGCGCTGCTGCGTGGAGTAAATCTGGGACGGCAGTGTGCTAGGAATGTACTAAGTGGTAAGCCCCTCTGTTGAGAAGCGAAGACAATATCACAGCTGGCCTGCCTTCTACTGTGTGTTTCATAGCATTTATTGTTAACCTTAAATGTTTTCACTTCTGTACAAAGTTGTTTGGTTTTAACGATGAATTAATGACAGTTGGTAGTTTATGACGGGAACAATAATAAGGAAGGTGTTTTGCTTTTTAGAGAATGCAATAGTAGCTTCCTGGTAATCCCAAAATGAGTAACAATGCTATCTTCACTTGTTTGAGTAAATGCATCGAAAGTACAGGGAAGCCCAAACATGAACTTCACATTCATATTCAAATTCTTAAAATCTGCGTTCCATTTTTTAGGCATACACATTATTGGCTCAGAGCTCAAGTGTTTCAAATTTGGGAAGGTAAAGTACAATCCAGAATCCAAAGATATCTTCATTTCATTATAAGAGATGTGAAATTCAGATTTGAGGTTCTGGTAAGATGCATGTAAGTATGTATTTATTTATGTATACACTTAAGAGCATTCTTAATTTAATTCTTTATAACAGATATTGACTTTCATTTTACTTTACCACTTTGTCTAATGATAAGGTAGTTTTTAAGGAAACTTTATGTGGATTCACTGCGTTGAAATATGACTTCAGTATCATTCATGAATAATCAATTGTCATAAACTTACATGTGAATTTTTTTTCTTTTCCATTTAACTGGAATTTTTTTTTAAATTTTAGAATACATTAAACCCTAAGTTAAAACGTTATCCAACCAGGTGCTTGGAATCCTTAGACCTACTAAAATTCATGGAAATTATGGTGTTTTCAAAGTTTTTTTTAATTTGGTCTTCTTACAACCTGTTTTTGCTAATCCCTCTTCTGACGTTTTTATTAGAGTGAGTGTTTTAATGGAAAATTATCTAGGTTTTTACAAATGTACTGTTCTTTTGGAAGTGACCATCAATTCAACAATAGTGAATAGCTATTGTTGACAAGGTCATTTTATCTGCATACTTTGTGTATTTCCAGAAATTACTTAGAAATTATTAAAACTGGAAAAAAGCTTGAAGGAAATGATCCAGAGGTAGGGTTCAGGGCAAAATGGGCCAATACTCTAATGCAGTATTGAAAAGAAAAGGACTCATCCACTTACAACAGTAAAAAAGCCTTCCAAGCTTTGTGGGGGGTGGGGGAAATATCCCTGAAGCACAGCCTACTGGGATTTACTGATCTGGCTGTAGAAGTTTAAATTGCAAGAGAGCACATGTAAATGAAGCCTTCATCCTTCTTGTATAATTTTATACCTTATTTTGGATTGGTCTTCTCTTTAAAACTTTATCCTGTACAATTTGTTTGCTTAATAAATGTTCAAACATAGGCAAGTTATGGTTGTTACGAGAGCTACAAGTGTGAATTTTCTGGATATTTGAATTTTCATCCATGAAGTTGTATTGAAATTTTTTAGCTGATTTCTTTAAAAAAAAAAAATTATTTGTATTTATTACACATACATGTGGCCTATAATTAAAATAGTATGATGCTTTATTTCATAAGCCCCAGTTTTTTTAGTTGCTTAAAACTACAAATTAAATTAATGTGAAGCAATAAACTCTGGTGCATATTGCATCAGAGTTTATTGCTCCCAGGCACTGGGTTTACATGTGCTCCTGGGACAGCGGCATGGTTTGCTGAGTAGGAGCAGCTCTGGCTGGCAGGGGATGCGGGGGGTCAGCCTGCCAGCCCGGGGTTGCTCTGAGCCAGCTCAACGTGCTACAGAGGGGCTGGCTGAACACGAGGGTGCTTCAGTGCAGGTTTAGCCGGCAAGCAGCCCTGACACTGAAGCACCCTTGTGCCCCAGCCAGCCCAGTCAGCGTCTTTATGCACATTGCTGCACAGTAAAGAACACCACAGGATAATACTTGTATTTATAAGTACTAACCTACAGTGGAGTTAATTAGTTTACTGCAGCCTAATAGGGCCACATATGTAGATGTGGTGACTTAACTGTGGATCTAATTAGGCAATTCTGCTGAAAATATCTTGTGTTGATGTGCCCACTGAGTATTATCTGGCCATGAATAATTTTATGTTGGAAATTAAGTTTTCTAATTGACAAACCAATAAGCTTGCAAAAGGCAGGGCATCTGCTTTTCAAGATGGAGCTTGGTCAGCTTGTGGAAAGAATTAGATGGTGTCAGGGCAGTTTTCCCTCCCTGCCTAGTCCCACCATGTGTTCCCGGTCAGTCTGGGAGCAGGCACAGGGAGGGGGAACCCTTCCTTCTGCCATTGCTGTCCCAGTCTAAGCCCAGAGCCTCTACAGCCTGGCCAGAGTGGGCAGCAGCAGCTCTGGAGCCTCTCCCCACCCTTGGGACAGTGGGGACAGCAGCAGCGGCAGGCAAGGGAAGGGGAGCAGAGAGGATGTGCCTCTGAACATGAAAGGGAGGGAGGACTTTTACCTGCTTTGGGGACTTTAAAAGTCTGTGTCTGCTGCTCCCATGGTGTGGCCTGCCCACCCTGGTGCACGGGGAAAGAGGAGGAAGCAAGAACTGGTGGTGGGGGGCAGCAGCTACCCTTGCAGCACTGGCTGCTGCTCCCACACCTCCCTTTGTAAAATCCTGAATCTGTTTCTGTATGATGTGGTTATCTGTCATAGCAAGAGCCTAGACTCAACAACACTGCAGGTCACTTCCAGTCCTTTGGTTCCAGTGCTCTGCCAAACTTTAACTGTTTGGTCTGAAATTTTCCATATCAGAGGTTACCTCAGATTTACTTTTTTTTTTTCTTTCAGCTATCCTTTCAGCCACTTGCCCAAATTTGGCCAAGTTAGAGGGTGTTGAAAAATGTGTTTGCAGATACTGTGCTAGTCAGCTGTTAGAGCTTTTCGACTAATATCTTCTAGTGTCCTCACTAAACTAATATGCTCCAGATCCTTCCACCTTCTACAGTCACAGGAATGCACTGTCCATATCCAGAGATCAACTGAACAGACTCTTGTTTTAACCTGATTTTTCCTACAAATGCAGTCTGCCAGTGCCAGTCAACAGAAATGAAAGCCTGGGAGTGTCTATTATGTTCTCAATTATTGTCCTAATGTTGAGGCCCAGGCAATATAGAAGAGAAAGATAAGATCCAGGAAAGGGAAGGAATGGATTAGGACAAGGAGACTGAGACTGGAGGCTGACAAAATGTGGTGATGAAGAAAGACACTGAGATTGAGAGTCTTGGGAATAACCCTAGGGCATGGAGCTGTTAGCATCACTGTCCACCAGATATTGCTTAGGAATTGTTAAAGCACAATTAACCCTTAAATGGAATGTGAAATACAAACACAGACAACTCAGTGGCCTAAAATCAGAGTCTAACTTTATTAATGCAACAAATGTTATCTTAACAGTTTCTATATACAGAAAGAGAAAAACATTCAGTACAATAATCTCACCCAATCTCAGATGTTACTTTGCTCAACAGAAAAGATGGCCACTCAGTTCCTGAAGCAAAGGATGCGTCATTGGCTGGGATGGGTCCAGACAGGTGTTGAAGGCTGGATTTATGATGATGACATAACTTTCTTGCTGCCCCCTTTTATGCTTTTCTTCAACTTCACTTCTTTGATGACTCTGCTTTGGGATTGGTCTTCCTGCAGTCAGGATATTGTCCATATTTTATCTTGTCAGCATATTCCTTTGTTCAATGTGCTTGTGCGTCATGAGCACAACTCTTAATTTGGTCTTTTCCTGGTGTCTTACTTTGGGCATTGTCCATTGGTCTCCCTTATCACCTTTCATTAACATATCCAATCATTTCATCCCTCTGATTCAGCTGGTTAGTGCCAAGTTCAGTTAATCTGAGCTGGTAACAAAACTATTACTATGTTGTGTTAGAAAAACTTCTCACAATGTTAAAAAAAGAAAGAAACACCGTGTGAGCAAACTCAAGGCTATAAGCTTCTTGCAGAACTTAAGGCCAGCTGATATTGTAGACACCAGCAAAATGAAAAGTTCAGATAATAATGAGGCTGTACAGAACTTAAGCAATGATTAAATAAGGCTGAATATAAAAGAAAACTTTAAACAACACTGTAATACACCACTCTGTAAATAGGTGCAACTTTTTAAAGCATGAAATATGACAAGCTACCCTAACAGAGCCAGCTGTGGGTTCAGGAGCTGAGGAACAATGGTAGTGGGGTGAGAAAAGTTGTGGGGAAGAGGTAGATTGTACACAATGCTTGAAGGGGGAACTGGGACTGCTAGAGCAAGAAGTGGAGTTGTTATCTGAGGATGGAGGGCTTGGATTTGGATAGGCAAAAAGAATGTAGCCAGGGAGAGAAACCCTAGTTAGGTAAGAGAAGACAAGGACAGGTGGAAGGAGATGAGGCAGATGACTCTAGGTTCACTAGAGCATATTTCCCTGCAGAGCCTGGAAAGAAACCTGAAACTCCTGTGTCTCACTATTCCTCTGCTGTCATCAAGTAACTTGGAAACCTACTGACAAAATGTCTCATCCCCCTCTAGTGCTGGTCCTTATGGAATATGACAGCTAACTACTGCTATCAGTTACTCCCTTAACTGAACTGGCAGACAGCTGTATGGTGAATGTAAAAATTCCAACCTTGATGAATTGTGTGGCTGTTAATATGATAGAATACCTCTTTTTTGGTTTGCTTATTTTAAAAGCACAGAAAATTATGCACAAAAAAATAAAAGTACATTAAGCTTACAACGCTAAGCACTCAAAAATAGGAAATCCACAATTAAGGTTGTTTGAGAAATCTTATTTGAGCCCTGTTATATGTTTAAAAGATTGCATAATTTTTTTTCA